AGGGAAATATTATTCCAGTTTCTGTACTTCTAAGGTGGATGAGAGGAAAGACAGCAGTCAATTACTGTTTGTCTTGGTTTGATATTTATATGAAGTAGCCACATTCAAATGTTTGATATATACATGCATAAAGTTAATCGGATTGCTTATTAACATTGCCTTCCTGAAATTAAATACATTTTCATATCTCTGGTCTGATAAACTTTTAAAATGACTGCTTTGAACTTCAATGAACAATTTACAAAATCGTAGTAGGACTGTCTTGCAGTGGCTTGCCTTTGGTTAATGACAACTCTTTCGTTGGTTTTAAGGAGCATTTTCCAGTAGTTTACTGAGTGAAACTCTGGTGGTATCTTGTGGAACACTCAGGAATTTTTAATTACCAAAATCATTATAGGAATTGCATTAAATGACAGTCTTGCTTTTGAAATCCAATAATAGTGAAAGAAATCCAGTCTAATTAGTTTGTCATTCTAGGTGCTTCTAGTTGAAAAAACGTCTTAGAATGTTAAACTGTTTCCAAGGGTGTACACAGGCACAGCATGATCAGCAAATTGCAGTTACCATAATACAGTAACTTCTCTGAACTTGTTCTCAATTTCTCTTGCTGAGAACAGTCTCTCTTTATTGTTGGGCAAATATCTTTGGCAGAAAAGCCAAGTAGGTAAAAAATATCTGACTGGCTGCGTTGCCGTCCTCTAGCTTTCTTTTCCAGTGTCTGAGTAAACAACTGAGTTGCAAAATAAAAGTTGTGCACCCCATCAGAAAGTATAGATTGTTTCATTTGGGTAGGAGATACTGATGTTTGAAAACCTACTGCTCTTTCAATTTCTTCTTGCCATTATGGAACGAGACCAGCAGTTGTTTCAGTTGGCAGCCTGAAGTCTGGCTAGTGAACATTCGCCAACGTTAAGTGCCTGACATTAATAATTGTGCTTTGCTCTGAACTGGGTGAGGGAATTGCTGTGATAAAACTGATCCTTGGAAACTTCTCTGGCTTGAACAGAGCAATCATGGAATTACAGAGGTTGGAAGGGACCTCAAGAGATCGTTGAGTTCAACCCCTGTGCTAAAGCAGGTACCCTACAATAGGTTACACAGGTGGGTGTCCAGCTGGGTCTTGAATATCTCCGTAGAAGGAGACTATGCAACCGCTCTGGGCAACCTGTTCCAGTGATCCATCACTCTTACCATAAAGAAGTTCTGCATGTTAGTACAGAACGTTCTGTGTTCAGGTTTTAGACCATTACTCCTTGACACATGTCTGAGAAGAGCCTGGCCTCATCCCTTTGCCTCCCATTTCCCTTTAGATATTTATAAACATTTATCAGATCCCCTCTCCGTTGTCTTTTCCCCAGGCTGAACAGACCCAGGTTAGCTTTTTGTGTCGGCTTTTCCTCATGTGGGTGATGCTCCAGGCCTTCTAGGAGACCTCTGTTTTTCTTAAGCTGAGGAGCCCAGAACTGGACACAGTAATCTACCTGTGGCCTCACCAGGGCAGAGTAGATGCGGAGAATCACCTCCCTTGACCTGCTGTTCATGTCCAAGATCCCACTGGCCTTCTTGGCCACAAGGGCATCCTGCTGGCCCATGGCTAATCTGTTGTCCACCAGGACACCTAAGTCTGCAGAAATCCTTTCTAGCAGGTCATCCCCTAACCTGTACTGATGGATGCAGTTATTCTTCCCCACGTGCAAAACTGCACTTGCTCTTGTTAAACCTCATCAGGTTCCTCCCTGCCCAACTCTCCAGTCTGTCCAGGTCTCGTTAAATGGTAGCACAACCTTCAGATGTGTCAGCCGATCGTTCCGGTATCATCAGCACAACTTGGTGAAGGTGGGCTCTATCCCTTCAACTTCTTCCAAAAAGAGCAGTGCTCTTTTCCCAAGTTATTAAATGTTTATGCTGTGTAGCATCAGTAGCATGGCTCTTAATAATTTTCTGTTCACTTGTGGAAAGACTTTCAGGAAGAAAATCTGTTGATAGATATTCCTTTTGCCCATTTTTCTGGCATTTTTGTATCATTGCAGGAATAGTGGTCTTCCATTTGAATTTAAATTTTTTCCACACAGATGTGAAAAAAAGGTAGGAAAAATTACTACTTTTCTGCGCTGTCCTTTGGAAAAAGAGATAACACTCTAGTAGGAAAGTCAAATTTAAGGTGAAGTTTTCAAAGTGGATGTGTGTTGTAAATAATCCTCCAACTTCCCAATTGTCTTTTTGATATGTCTTTACTGTTGAAGCAGAACAGCCCGCCCAGGTTAGCCTGTTGTTCTCATGTATGGAAAGGAGTGGAGAGTAACTTGGCCTAATTATTTGATGAATTTGTTGAATCGTTTGGAGCCCAGCAGGTATTCTCACAGGACCAAGTTTTATCCTTGTGCTTGAGAAGAACTACCTAAACACATTCGGATTGTCTTCAGTTTCAGCACAGACAATTCAGTCTGCCTGTTGGAATGGTGCTTATCTGCTTGAGAAATGCACAGAGGGTCAAGGAGTTCAGTGTGTTCTCTTTAGTTAATAGATACAAAGCTTCAGGCAGACCAAAGAAGTGTGGCACAGCTCCAGAAATAGTTTTACAGAGTTCATGTTATTTACAAAATTGAGCAAGATCAGGAAAAAGAAAAAGTAATTTTGATAGAATAATTTGACAGTACCCTTGGACTTGAGTTATTGTTTACTATAAACATGGGTACTCTTAACTTCCCTTCTGTCTGACTGTATACCACAGTTCTCCTGGCTCTGTCCCTCCCCAGCCACATGGCTTAAAGGTGTGAGGTCTGTCTGCCAGCACCCACTGGTGCCTTTCCCTTAGCAGAACCTGCTAATAAGTGATTTCCTCTTACCTATTTTATTTAACAAATTTCAGTGAATGAAACATCAGTAGGATCTCTACCCTTGTAATAACATTAGTTGAGATTGTTGAAACTATCCTACTACTTTTGAAGTCTTAGTAATGAGGTTTACAATGCAATGCTTCTTTTTCATTAGGAAACCAAACTTTGAAAGGTGATTCTAAAAGGTTTGGTTGCATAAAGATTCTGTGAATACCTGTCCCTGCAGAATTAACACACCTGTTTGTATAAGCTAGTGGGTTATGTTCTTAAGAAGTGCTCATGTGTTTGATCTGCTATTTTAGCCAGCAAATATTATTTTAGATTTGTTAGCAAATAATGCTATAAAATTATTTCTATTTTGATCAATTTCTTTGCTTTCTGTCTCAGAGATGAAGGCTCCTGTTAGTTATGGTTCTTCTAGCTCCATTTGTGCTGACCTTCCTCCTGTGTTTAGTTACAGGGTTGTACTGGACACGTCCAAGAATTAATGTGATAGGCAAGTGCAAACTGCAGATTTGCATTGAATTCCATCACTGATTGTGCTTAATCGATGATATGAAATGCTTCAGGCTACTGAAAATACGTCCAGCTGAGATTTGCTGAAATTCTAAGGTCATAGGAAGAAATTTGAACACGTTAGTGGGAAATCAGTGTTGTTTTCTGACTGATGAGCTGTATTGCTAACTTCTCTGTCAGGACAGGCACATTGCTGTGTGAATTGCTGTACAAACATATTTCAAGGGAAGGATGATTTGCATTGTTTATAATCTTCCAAGGAAACATGGAACAAAAGCTAAGACAGTATAAAAGTGCTGTACAGAGAGTTCTTCCTTGTAGTTTTTATATAATAGCTAGTATAATTGGACCTGATTTAGAGGCAGGTCTTTGGTCATTTCTGTAATTAAATATTAAGCTTACCTTTGGGAAAAAACTTCTCTGATTTCAAGTGCAAAGTTTTGTGGCTTTTTTTTTCCCTTCCTTCTTTTAGCATAGAAGTTACTTACTTGTTTTAATATTTTCTGGGTTTGGAGTCGTAACGCATCAGTTACAGAAATCATACTGATAGAGGTTATTAAGCTCTAGGCTTTCTTTAAGTACATTCAGTTTGCACTGTAGATAGATTCTTGTAAGCAGTTTTGCCTTTCTTTACTTCCCAATAATTTCTTTATTTATTGTAGTTCTTCTCAACAGTCAAGTTCTGTTTTTCTTGCTTCTTCACACTTTCTGGACTTGAATGTTTTTGGACCTGTGGCCCTGGTGTAGTGTTTGCTTACTAGGGAAGGAATAAATAGGTTCCTGCATTCACCTACAGGTTGGCTTATATCTGAACTTCTCCAAGGGATATGATATGTCCCTTTGGGACACCCAGGACTGCACTGTTCAGAATGTAATTAAGCGTGCTGGGCAAGAAAAAAAAGCAACCTAACAAAACCACCTAAAACCCTCTTGTGTAACTGATGAAATTGAACTGTGACTGTGAAGGCAATCCTCTGTTTTTAGGGTCAAGATAGCCTTGATTTTGGCCCTGTGTTGGCAAATGGGAGAAGAAATCACTAAGGAAAGACATGAGTATGATGCTAGCTTGTGCCAAGTTCTAAAGGCTACATGATGCTGGTGTTGTGTAACTACATGAACATTTCCCCTAGTTTTTAGCTATTGCAAGTCCAGTTCATCATATTCTTAGTGATTCCTGAACTATAACTGTTACCACATCAGCTTACTGTTTCTGGAGCTCTGAAACCAGTTTTGTGTAGGTTAAGAATTGCATCCTTGTTGGGAGCCTCTGTGTGTTGTGTATGGACAGCTTAGTGAGTCTTTTAGACATTTCTTCAGAATACCTTAAACGGGTACCTTGCTTGGCCTACAGAAAGTGCTGTGGAAGGTGGAAGGAAAGAAATGTGCCATTCACATCCTGCCCTGCAGAAAATAGGTGTAATCCCTGGGATTACAGTAATGGTATCATTCAAGTTCTTTTACTTCTGAAACTATTGTAGCTTTACAAACTGAGTTAACCCATGGGTAAGTAAGTAAGCAAGGAACTGCCAGTATTTGAAGTAGAAGGCTATGAGAAATGTGTATGTGTAATTAATATTAATATTTCATTTTTAAATTGAAAGAGCAGTAATTTCATTCTAACATGAATAAAATATCCTTTTTTTGTAGAGACGTGGAGCCATTTCCTATGACAGCTCTGATCAGACTGCTCTGTACATTCGTATGCTAGGTAAGTGTACCAGTTTGTGTATTGCAGAGATTTTACCATTGTTATTGCTTAGAAAAATATAAGAAGTTTATATTTGAGCATTGTACTTTTAAGCTTAATAATTCCCTTTTTCCTGGGAAATATTCTGGTTAAATTCTTTAGAAAAACCATTTAGTGTTGATTTGAGTTTTTTGGTTGTTTAGCTTTTAAAATTTCTTTAATTTTTGAGTTAACTATTATGTTGAATACTTTGTTCATGCATTTAAATAAAAACAAATTATGGTTCTTATTAGTGTAAAGCATTTGGTAGAAGTTTAGTTTTACGAATAACTCTAATTTATTTGTGATGGATCTTTCATTCTTGTTATGCAATTTCACCTCTGTGTGGTATCCTGGTTAAAACTGTAGCTTAGAGAATATTTATGTGTGGAAATTACCATAAACTGCAGAAAATTTCAGTACTGAGGCTGTGAAGTGCTCAAGGTGCTCTTCAAATAATGGTACGGTTTTTAAAAATACTTCTCTTATTAATTCTAGAAAATGACTTGAAAAGAGAAAGGACGCGTGACAGGGCTGGTAGCTTAGTCAGCTTTCTGAAGAATGTTTCCAGAGTAACAACTAGATAAAGCCAAATTACAAAGAAAGGGCAGTACTGGGAGGAGCAAGCATCAGGGGACACCCTCCGTGTTACTGAGTGCACTAAGGACTCAATAGAGGCTAATAGTTGAGAGGAGAAAGCTGCAAAGCTCCTGTAGATGATCAGAGGGACTCTATATGCTCTGAAGTCTGTTTCACTGAGAAATTACAGTGCTTAATTTAAGCCAACTTCAGCTACGATTTTGTGTTGAAATGGACTATGAATGCTTACATGTCTTCTGCAGCTCAATGAGACAAGCAGCTAGTGATGATACATTCTTAACCTGTTTCGACTAGATCAGCCAGAACGTCTTTTTTTATGCTCTTAGTTGTTTCAGTTCAGTTGCAATTTGTACTTACCCCAGTCACCAGAAATTCAGGACCACATTCTCTATGAATTCATAGTTATAAGCTACATATGTAGACAAATACGTATGTGCATGTAAAATGCAGCTTGGGCTTAGTGCCTTTTTATTTTTCAGTCACTTTGTTCTTGATTTTTTTTTTTTTTTTCATTTCAAGTTTTTAAAGCTATTAATACTATAGCACTGTCTAGTAAAGAACCTTTAATAGCAGATTGTAATTTAGAGAATTGTTTAAAAAAAAAAAAAGTAGGAGGACAGATGACGCTGGTTTCTAAGTGCTAATTTAAAAAGTAGCTTTTTTTGAGGGGATAGAATTAGGTTTATTTCATATTAAAAAGTCAAATGGTTGATTTTCAATCATCCTACTTGTGAGACAAACGCTAGAATTCTTCAAAATGGGATTTATTTTTTTTTTAACTCATCTGCTAATGGTGGACGTTCAGCTTGTAAAAAAATGGTTCTTTATTTCTGGGGAGAATAATCTTCAGCTGCTTTAGAAGCTTAGCTTAATTGCAGCACCTAGTAGTTAGGCCTAGAATTCTGCAGAAGAGTTTGATCGCAAAACTCAACTGAAACTAGAAGAAAGCAAAACATGATTTTCTGTGGTTCCTAGTGTGTGCACATGGCTGAACTGAGGGGAGATTCTAGTATGATTTGAAATCTTTATTCGCTGTGCTAGTAGGTAGAACTGGGATATATTCAGGGTGTGTGCAAATGTGTTGAGTAAATTGAATTTCACTTGTTCTCTAATTTGATTTAATTTATTAGGTTATGTGATAATGCTATTCGTGACGAGCTCCTAACTCTTGCAGACATTATTGTTTAATAGTGACAGCTACTGAGAAGCAGTATGTCTTTTAAAGGAGTAGACCTCTAACTCCTGCTGGGGGATGGTATCAATAAGCAAACGAAAGATTGCTCATTAGATGTTTGAATCAGGGTGTTACGCTCTTACTATTTACTTGTTACTGATAACTTTGTTTCTCCGAATACGAAGTACGCTGTCCTGCACAAAATAGCAGTTGTTTACCAGAGTATTGTTGTATTCATAAAGGGATTATAAAAAAAGACCAGCCTGAAAGCTGAACAGTTGGATGCATCAGTATTTAGAAACATTCTTATCAGAACAGATTGAAAGATGATTATATTTAACTAGACTTTTTATAAGAAACAAGATTGGATTCCCTGTACAGTACTGTGAGGATTTTCTTTTTAAATTTTACTCCTGTTAGCAGAGGACCTGTAAGAAATCCTCAGCTGTAACTTTATGGGAAGTTACACAGTTGTAAGAGGTATTTTACTTCGTTGGTTGCTATTACAAACAGACCACATCCACTGCACCTAAATAAGGTATCCACTGTAGCAGACCAAAGTAGACAACTGAAGTGTATCTAGGACACTTTCTTCTGCATCTGTTTAGATGAATTGGCTGTAGAGTTGCTTCCTTTAATGTCCTCTGGCTGTTCTGACTGGAATCTGATGGAAATTCATTTGCGCCAAGCAGGTAGAAATTGCTGTAGTATGACAGAGTTTCCAAGTTCAACTAAAAAGATCAAATTTTAGGGGCAAGATGAAATAAACTAACAAGTCCCACAAGTGTCAATATAAACAAACAGCGTTGATGTTAATGACTCATCTGTCATACTCTGTTCCCAAAATATATGCTAAGCCATTCCTGAGTGGCTGACTTGCTATTTTAAAATATAGATACAGATGCAGCATTGTAGAATTTTTCTTTTAAGACCTTGAATAGGCTAATATATGTATATCACCTCAGTCAGCTATTTCTCTCAAAAGCTATGAGAAATCCCACTGTTTCCTATAACTGCTTCCATGTAACTTGGTACTTTTTTTTTTTCTTTTTTTCTTTTCCTCTGCTTTTGTTTTCTATTCTTCCCGTAGTTGTTTTGTACTGCCTGAAGGTTTTAATAGTGTGCATGGCCTGGAATGAGTGGGGCATTGATTGCTTGTATTGGTGAACACGCATCTCAACTAAAGCTGGAACAGTATGCCCTGTTTTAAAAAATCATGATTGCTTTAACTTGAAATCACTGAAAGCAAGAAATGAGTAATTCAGGGCAAGTTCTTTTATGGTAGCAATTGCTGTGTTGTATTGCTTTTGCTTTAATTCCAGCATATTCAGCTGACCTGTCATCTGTTTCTTCAGCACGTTTAATAGCAGCTTGGATCTATGAAGCTAGTAATTCTTTCTGGAAATCCTGTGCTGCACATCTTCATGCCTTTAACTTGAGTGTGAGTGGTTTACCTTGAGGTGGCTTCTGCTCCCAGCTGTCCTCCGTGATCTGAGATTTCATCCCCTTCTCCAGAAGCCCTGGGCAACCTGAGCAGCTACTGCATGGTTACTGGTTCAGACTGCGAGATTAGGGTAGCATGAAATACATGTTGTGTAAACTTAACATGCAGGGATATAAACTATTGTGTATCAGCAGCCTTGTAAGTTTCAAAGCTGTCCTTGCAATGCGAGCAAGGGTCTGAAAGAGGGGTTAGAAGCTAAAAGAGCTGTCTCCAGGTAAGTTTTGCTAAAGACCTGATTCTTTTTCAGCTGTATCTGTCAACTTTCCTCTTCCACATTCTTTCTTCCATTATTTATTCAGCCTTCAAATCAGTTTTTCACTCTGTGGCTTATGTCTTTCGAAGGAAGGAAAAAAAACCTCTGCATAGAACTATTCTGTTTAAAAAAAAAAAAAAAAAAAAAAAAAAAATTAGTTGGATACTCAGGCAGCAGACAGTGTGTCAGGTCTGCCTGCAAAATCAAGCTTTGAGCGGAAAGCTGAGAAACATATTAAGAAAAATCTTTGGAAAAAAAAAATTGTTCCTGGAAGTCCATTAACATTATAATGCTGGACTTGAATGCATTCTCTAAGAAAACAGAGGAGTTACTTCAGAGTGGCAGAAATAACTGTTAAAGAGACACATAACAGGAGAGCTGTTATCTCTACCACTCTGCCCCACTAAGGAAATCTACCTGTCAGCATTGTGATCTGTTGGTATCAAAGCATTTCATAACCACTTCAATATTTTTTTAAAAGGCCTAATAAATAGCAACTTCATAAATTATCTTGGTTTATGTACTGAATTTAATTATCTTTTATCTGCTGTAATAATAACCAGCGTTTATGTTGGACTTCTGTTGCTGTTTGAAAGAATTACGTAAGTGTCCTTGTATCTGGTAAAAGTCATCTTCAATCTGAAATGTTTTGCACCTTTTTTTTTTTTAAAGTTACCTGTGATGACAATCATGTTTTTCTTAAATTTATTTCCAAGTCATAGGGTTACAAAATCTTTACAGAATTTCTCTACTAAATCAGTGTGAATGTGTTATGCTCTGAGCAAGCACAAAGTGGGCACATTTGGCATCCATTGATCTCAGCAGGTCAGGTCAGTTGAACCGTGAATACATAATGATGGTCAGGTACTTCTGGATGTTTGGGACTAATTACATATATGCAGTTGAGATTAGTATCGTTGTGCTCTTCTGCTTTTGTTTTGACCCAGTAGGAATTTCTGTTTGGTGTACTGTGATAAATTCCAGTCCTGGAGAACTGATAATTATTCCAGAGTGCCAGAATAAAAACAAGCGTGTTCTGAATATAACTCCTGGTAAAAGCAATAGTCTTACTCTGCTTTTATTTTTTTCTTTCCTACTCAAAGTCCACAACCTTGTGAGCTTTTCAGGAGAAATGGGGCTACTATTATTCTAGCTGAATTGTTAGGTGAGGCACTAGCTAATAAAACAAGTAGAAAAAAGCACAGAGAATTTTTCTGGGTATTATTTGTCAGCTGAACTTATTTGTTTTGTAGTTTGCTGAGCTCTGTGTTAGTCTCCATGTGTTTTTCTGTGAACCTTTCCTGTTCTCAACTCTTCTAACAAGTAAATTATTCACAAAACCCTTTGTATGCTGCCCAAAACTATATGCTAGTTAATGTGCAGGCTGGTAAAATTTCAAAGGTTAAGAATGCTTTGAAAAATAAGTGCCATTCACAAAAGCTGTATCATATTTTGTTAAAAATCAGCTCAACTGCTCAGTGCAGCTGGTGTGCTGAAAGGTCACGCAGCCATAGCTGTGACTGATTTGTCAGATAAATAGATGTGATGGGTAAGGAAAATTGCGTTTTCCTTTGTACAAACCGATATTTTCTTACACAACTATTAACGCGCTCACCTCTCCTTTTCCTAAGCTTCCTGTCTTTTCCTTTTTATTCGCTCATTTCTCAAACAACATTCACCAGCTGTCTTTGGGCCTGACTGAAGAGTTCTACAATTTGCTGCCTCTGTATTGTCTGGAAAAAGACGAGCCTCTTCATCTCTGACCAGATGAATGCTTGAAATCTTTATAGTTCATTATATTGTCAGTGGTCTAAATGATGGTTTTTACAGGTAGTAATAGACCTTGCAGCTTATTTTACCTTGCAGCTCTGTTAAGTTTTTAAGTTTCAAGGAGGAAAAAAAAAAAAAGCAACAAAGCAGACTTGTGTTTGGCATGTTTTTACTGAAACAAAGACTCTAGACTCCTTACCAGGGAGCCCGCTGCTTATCTTTTGTGCTGCTTCCAGCATGCCTCAGAAGATAACATTCATGTGAAATGTGTCACTATAGATACGTCTGTGTTCATAGATACTTATCTCTGGAAATATATTTGTTAAGTGTGAAAAGCATGTCACTAACATTTTGGTCAGTATCTTCGTGTATCTTCTGATTTAGACTCTTATAAGTTAGCAAGTTGCAAGGAAAAGAAAAAAGCACAATAGTAGCGGTTGCTGAAAATTAAGTAGCTATTTTTTATTCTTTTTAAAACCAATCCATTTCTTGCATTAAATACTTCTGATTGATAAGAAAATCACTGTGTTTGAGGAGAGGAACATGATACCCTTGTAGGGTTTTCATAATAGAAACCAGAATACTGAAAAACAATCTGAAATTTCACTTTATTTTCTGTTAGGATCTTAGAGAGAAATACTGTTGTTTGATCCTCAGGTTGCCCAAATTTGTCATTGCTGAAGGTTTTAAAGTGAAAGTTTTTCGTTAAGCAGATTACTTCCACTAATGTATGTAACTACGTTATGAAAGAATACTGATCAGCTTTCAGTTGGTTTAATAATAAAAATTAATAATTAATAAAAATGCCTAAATAGAAATCAGCGAGCATGCTAAAAGATTCAGGTTAAGTCTAAACTGCAGTGCAAAATAGTTTTATAAAATTTTAATACTGAGTTTTGGTATTTTAATAGGCTCATGTGTAATATTCAAACAGCTGAGCACAAGTAAGTAAATGCTAGTGGGAAAGCATTCTATTATGTAATGTAAAACCATATTATTATTAGCTTCTTTGCTAAAAGCTACCATTTCTAGAAGCTGAATCTTGTACTATACAAAATGTTTTTGTTTCGTGTGTGTTACTGAGGAACAAATAAACTTTAATGTTGTTTCCTGTCATATCAAGGTGCATTTTTACCATACTGGTGTAGCAAGCTGTTCCTAATTTCATCTGAATGCTTATCACATGCTTCTGGCAACGTATGCATAGGCAGGAGAGATTTTGACAAGGAAGCATGCAGTTGCATGTTTAAAAAGTCTTCAAACTTTGTTTTGAATTTCACCTTAAAACGAAAAGCATTGAAATAGGCCTATTGTTTGAATAACCCTATTCCATTAAGTACATGAATCTTTACCCCTCCAGGCTATGTTCATTTGCATTTTTATCTCTGCCACTCTTCCACACTTTTATTTCACTCTTGACCCTGTTTCTAGGAGATGTGCGAGTAAGAAGTCGGGCAGGATTTGAAACAGAGAGAAGAGGTTCTCATCCATACATTGATTTCCGTATTTTTCACTGTAAGTATTTAAAAGCAGATGAATGACAAATAAACAAAGGCTTCCATTAATTTTAACTTCTGAGCCTATACAAATAAAGATAGCACCTTATATAGCAAGACCATTCCTTACACTGCTTACACTAGGAAAATCTTTCATTCTACTTCCAAAATAGAATAAGAAAATCTTTACTGCTAAATTACCGTTTCTAAAAACATAGTTTAAACTCGTATTTATTGAGTTTAGATCTGAATCCCTATGGAAAAGAAGACTTGCATACCATTACTGATCTGTATGCAAACTACGGAAGACCCAGTTGTTTGAGAAGAATGCTTTCCTGCTCTTATCAGACACGAGAAGGACCTGGTGTAGGATGGTGATTGAGAAGAATTCCAGTAGATTTCAATATTCTCGACCTAATCATAATCAATTAGTGTTTCATTTTCTCAAACATATAGATAGATCTTAGTTTCTCATAGGAAGACAACTCCAAAGATTAAAATGTTGTAAGAAAACATCTAAATTTTCTTGATTATGGGTTATAGGGAACTTTTTCCCCTTAGAGAACTGTTACAAGAAGAATAATTTCACTTTTATTCCTCTATATTGCAATAGCCTGATATATCAATACTTGTAATATAAAAGCTGCAGTAATCACCATACCTGAGTAATGCAGCACAGTGGAAAAAGATTCAAATGTTAAAGTACACAATATCAATGTATTGTAGTAAAGAATCTACACTGACACTCTGTAATCACAATTCTGAATCATCTGAATGCAGTGATGGAATTTAGGAAAATTATTTCACAATAACAAGTGTGGTTGTAATTATCTTATTAATGAGTGGCAGAAACTGTGCTAATTTTCTGATCTTACTTTAAGTTGCTCATTTCTAAGTAGATGACTACTTAAATCTAAAACTTTTAAAAGCGTCATTCAAAAGTTAGTTTCATAAAATAGGTGAGAAAACAAAGTTTGAAGAGTATTTGAAGAGGATAAGGATTCAATCACGGATCCTGATAATTCTACTGAGAAAATAAAATAACAAAAAACCTCCATAAAAATAGCATACTGTTTATGAATTCTATATAAAGACACAGTTATGTGACATTTCGTGCTGATAAGGGAAGCTAGTAACAGAAATACTAGGAGAAAAGCATGTTAGAAGGCAGTCACGTGTGATGTTTTCGCCATTGTCAAATGTGTTTTCTATGGTGCTCATCACTCTGCTTCCATCCTGACAGTTGTGCATCAGGCAGATAAGGACAAGGATTTTTCACACGCTTTCTTCTTGCTCCTACTTGTTCAGGCACAGGGAACTGACTTTTAGCAACATCAACTGTGGTGTCTGATGACAGCAAGGAATGTTGCTAGGAGGCCTAAAAATTCTTTGCCTATAACTTTCCTCTTGTGTCAGCCTCAGTGGCAGCCTTCAAAGTTGCCATATTATAGCCAGATTTTTACTTAAGAATGTGCTTTTAACTTAAGAATTATGGTCTGTTGCAGAGTTGATCTGACTCTTGCTACATAGAGTTTTCTTTCCAAGAGAATAAGGAGTTAATCTTATGGTACCACTAAATTATCTACTTACTTAGAGATTTATTTTTAAAAAAGAAACGAACCTTAAGGTGTTTTCTTTTTCTCTGAACTGCTAATCCTTATCAGTGTTTCCCTAATAGTTTTAAGCAAAAGACTTGATCGACTTGATTCTTAGCATCCTGCTTATTTTCTCTTCTTGTAACTCCAGAAGGATTTTTTTCCCCCACACATGTGGAAGAAAAGCAGTCACCATAGTAGAGGAGCCAGTTTTGCTACCACGCTCTGCTTGGAGCAAAAACTGGGCTGAAATGGTTCTCTTTTGCAACAAAAGCAGACTAAGGCATCCGAGTGTTGTTTTTTATGTTTTATCTTTATCTGCACAAAAGCTGTATACTGACCACCAGTATTGCATGCATACGTTTTCTTCACGGTGTTTGTAAAATTTCACTGTAACTTTCATTACTCTGTGATTCTAAAAATTTTGCAATGATCGTTGCTTGCCTTTTTTACAGATGACGCCTTCTGCCCATCATGCACAGTTGTTGAAGCATTGTTGACATTTTACATTTTGCTTACCTCATTTTTGTCCTCGAGCATTGTTTTTGTTTTTCTCAGTTCTGTCTTGTGAAGGAATTTCAGAGTATTTCAGAAAGTTGAGCTAATGAACCAGTGACCAGTTTTCTTCCAATGTTTTATTAATAGACACTTAGTCCAAAATTTTATTGAGAGGCTGGAAGAGCAGTGAGTTTTAAATGTGTGACTTTATTTTCAGGAAGCTACTGTTGGTTTTTATTCTTTTGTCTTCAGAAAATAATCCACTCTGTTTTGTAATGTTTTTATTTGCAACTAGAACTTATACTGTTAAATAAAATAGTAAAGTTTGTTAGCACTTAGCTCTTAAGGTCGCTCCTGTTTCTTAAGGTTGTAAGCTTAGTGTCTGTGCCTTTATCCTCTCATTTTGTAACTGTCACATAAATATTCAAGTTCATAAGTTGGCTAGAAGTATACTTGTTTATAACTTTGTTTTTTAAAATGATTGCTGGAAAAAAAAAAAAAGAACACCAAACTTTTTTGGGATGGTAGCATGAAAGAGATCCATGAAGAATATTAATACGAGATCTGACTATCAAACTATGTCTTTTGGGTGGCAGCTTTTCTTCTACACCATTTTCTGTTCCAGAAATCACGTTTCGATAGCTCATTGCAGGAACTTATCAGACAGCGTAGCTTAATAAACAGTTTTTTGTTTGTTTGTTTGTTTGTTTGTTTGTTTTTTAAACAAGACTACATTCTGCTTATAGGGAAAGGCAGGATTGTGTTCCTCATGTTGGTTGGTAATTGGTTAACACTGTGACATCAATTAGTAGTTTCTGTTACTGTGATCTGTTGATTTATGTTTCTTTGGGACCATGGACGTATCCTCAAGTTAGCAGCTAAAAGCCATGGATGCTGAGAGAAGAGAGCAGCCATGTAACTTTATTCCTCAAAAGTAAATCATGTTTTAAATAGAATGGTCCAGTTTTGTTCAGTGGATTCAGTGTTTGTTTGTTTTTTTTACTGTTGCACAATGAACTGCATACACTTCAATGGTCTTTTACCTTATTGAATATAGAGCACCAGATCTACATTGCACTTCTAAGGTAACAAGTTTGGCAGAGTACTATCCAACAATCCTCATGTACTGTTGGGTTTTTGGAGAAGTTATTGAAAAAGTGGTTGCAGACCGTTACAAATATGCTGTAGTTAATGTAGTTACTTTTAAAATTGTTTTAAAATTATTAAAGGTATCATAAATAGTAATTCAATCTGTAATGTCCACAGATTGTTGACTAAAACCTGCTGGAATACAAAGTCTTTGCTGGAGTAATTGGTGGGTGATAGTGTACAAATATTGAATTTTTTAAAAGCAGCAAACAAAAAATAAAGATTAAGGTTTTGTTTTCCTGTTACTGAGAGGTTGTTAGTAATGTTTATCTTTTTATGTATTCATGTTTGTGTGTATATAAAGACACTTAAGCTTTGTTGCTTGTGTTGTTGAAGCTTCTCTGGCATGCACAAACAAAAGAATCTGTGTGCTTCCATCACTCACTGTTTTGTCTAAAAAAAAAAACCTGTGCTCAGCGAAGTGTGCAGTGTGTTACAATGGGGGAGCAAAGCCAAAATGATTAAATAAAATAGCCAAAATCTTGGGTAGTGTCATATGCAGACACAATTTGAATTAATAGCTCCAAACTTCCTTTTTAGGAAAGGGTTGTTGAATATAGTCTGGAAGAACTGGATAAAAAAGAATGCTTTGGTCTTGTGTAGAGGAAGCATTTTTTCTTCTTACCTTTAATTTTGCATCTGCACTGGAACAGATGAGATCTTGTCAAAAGGCTTTTGAAATTCTCTCTTGCCACTCTAGTCTGAGCCTACGTGTGTATGGCGATGGTGATGTTGCCAATGTGTGGCTCTACTTGTAGATTCCATAGCTAAGGTAATGTCACATCTATGAGTTAAAGTATCTAGGAATTAAGAAATGGTTCCTGAATAAATCACAATGTTTCTCTAAACATCTATCAGTGACTCGGTTTTAATCAAATTGTGCTCGCTAATACAGGGCTCTGCATTTGGGTAATAAAATGTGATTGGATCTCAGTGGCTCCATGATGTGTAGACAGATGTTTTCTCTCTAGTTGGATATGTAGCCTTTTTATGTAGTGGAAAGGAAAGAAGGGAAGAGCTCAGGTGTCTTTCATCGGTGATGGATGAATCTGACACTCTTTTTGAGAGTAGAGTAACATGAGATCAAGAAATTATGGAGATTTTTTTTGGTATACCGTTTTCAGATTGTTAATGTGGACTCTGCAGTTCAGTGAACATTTTATTTGTTACTCTGACATCTGATGCAAGTATCAGCATCTGCTGCTTGCAGTGGTGTTTTGAACTTGCTCAAAAAGCACTAAAAAAGATATATCTTGGATGGTGAACTTAGACTTGCTTTAAAAGAAAGATCAAAAGTAATGTAAGAAAGAAGAGTTCAAGTCCAAATCAATTGCCTTTAAGAGTTCTGGCTATCTTTCTATAACAACACTTGATCATGCTTATACCATCTAGAGGTTGAGTTAAAAATGAGCAAAATCCAGATTGAGTTGAATGCCTTCTTTTATTTCATGAAAAAATAGACGAAAAAATTACCTAGCTGCATCTTTTGAAAAATAAAGGTGTTACTCTTAAACGTCCTGCTGTGAAGAATGACTAATTTCACAGCAAATCAAGTCATTCAAGATCATGTATGGTCAGAGATTGAAAGATGAGGTTCTTTACCTGTGAAGGTAGCAACAGTAAATACTAAAAAGCATGCATGCACTCAAGAGGTTTCTCTAGAAGTTGTATTTCTATATATGCAAAACACATTCTGAAATTGGCATCTAATTATTCAGTCTGAATTGTTAAAATAATTTTTCTCTTCCAGTTGAGAGTTTTACTTTCATGTAGTACA